ACCCCCCCCCCCATATCTGAAGTTACTAGGACCTTGGTGCATAAGTTATCAGGTGTACGTTGTGTGAGTTACCATGCTATTCATAAAAAAAGTTATCGAGGGTATGTTTACACTAGTTTTTTTTGGGTCAAAAAAGCTACCATGGTATTTGTACTTAAGCTATCAGGTTTGTGATGTGTATAATTATCAGCCTCATTACAGAGAAATTACCAAGGAATGACTCACGAGAAAAAGACCGTTGTTAAAATTCTATAGGAGTGAAATATTTATTTCTCTAGAAAATATTCATCACTACAGAAAAAGACAAATGAAGTACAAAACACGTTGCATCTGTCCTTTAAAAAACTTGAAGCAAGTGGTTTTGTCTTCTCACCGAAGGCTTGTGGTTTTTCTTTCTCGCTCTCGTTTAATAAGGTAGAAATACATTAATCTGCAAAAGAAACAGAACAGATAGTCATCTTAGCTGGTAGTTCGCTGCGGCCACAACCACCTGGTTGTGTGTTGGACTGGAAGTTAGCTTTCTCGATTTTTATAAGGATGGTCTTATAAGTGTTGGTCGATTTTGATACATGGCCTTTGGCCTTTTTCGGAGAAAGAAACTCCTACTCCCTCCGTTCCTAAATGTAAGTCTTTGTAGAGATTCCACTACATGGACTACATACGGAGCAAAATGAATGAATCCATACTTAAAATGCAACTATATACATCCGTATCTAGTTCATAATGAAATCTCTACAAAGACTTATATTTAGAAACGGAGGGAGTATATCATAATTAACACATGGAGCTGTCCCAATCGCCGTCGGATTGTGCCTACCTCTTTGTGATCCATCTGAAAGATACTACACTCCGACGTAGACGAAGGTCCCACACCGACCCATACCACTAGCACTCTCCGCCGGCACACGGCTGGCGATGGAGCTGCACCGATTTCGGCGACTCCAGCTTGTCCGCGCACGGCCACAGCACGCGTGGTGGAGGTGCCCGTGGTTCTCAACTTCTCACCGATCGACCGGGCCGGGGCATTTATGCAGAGTTTTTCCCGTGGACATCCGTGTTGCCAAACAGTGTTGTAGTTGACGCCCTGCATGCGTCGCCATTAACTACCCCGTGTCTCCCGTCGAATCAACTTAATTTTCTCCTCTTTTACTACTCCGGGGAGACAGGAGGATGGTCAAGATGAGATAATTGCATGGGGCAAGAAAATGCTTTGGCAACATATGCTTACTACATCTACATGAGCTCCAACCAATTGTTTTTCTTGCCATGTGTATAGCGTGCCGCACAGGCAAATACTTGTGTAAATCCCGGATCATGGGAGGAAAAGTATATAGAGAGAGAGAAAGAAAAAGAGATGTTGGGCCAAATTGCTCGGCGAAGAGATGGGCAGGGACAATGACAAGTGACAACTACTCCGTAGGAGCTCTACGCTTTCGCGGCCGCAACAGCGTGGTATGGCGATATTTAAGGCCCCCTCATTCAATTCCGTCGTACGCATATTCTCCAGCGCAACAACAAAGCCCAAAATGACCAAGAGCCCTCAGAACGAAGCCAGTCCCCCAAACGACCAAGCCCCCCAAAAACTACAAACCCAAACTCCAGAGCTGCGTTATATATACTCCCTGCGTTCGCAAATATTTCAATATGAACGACATACTGGCTGAAACGAGTGAACAAACACACTAAAACAAAATAAAAAAATAGAGCATCTTATATTTGTAAACCTGGGGAGTAGCACTTGGGACTTGGCCACCATGGCATGCAAGTTTTTGCTAGTGATCGATGCATGCATATCAATCTGCATGCATAGTGCACGCATGTGTTTCTTTTCTTGTTGTCCATCTGTGAGGGTATGTGCAGTGCAGTGCAGTGGTGGCGCTTACCAGTTAAGCCGCGATGTAGAGTAGGTCGGGACTTATTCAGTTATTTGGTCCCGGCGGCGGCGGGAGCGAGCGAGCCGGAGGCGCGCCATCAAGCCATGGAATGCATATAGCGGGCGTCGATCAAGCAGCTGGCTGGCGCCGTGGCGCGGGAAGGGAAGGGAACAGCTCCTCCTCCTCCGCGGACGGCAGGCAGGCAGGGGCGGGCGGGCGTGCATCAATGGCGCAGTTAAGTGCGGTGGGGATGGTGACCAGGCTGCTCGCGCGTACCTACGTACGGCCGCCAGATAGGGAGCGGGCGCCCATCCTTCCTCCCTCCCTCCCTCCCTCCCTGGATCAGAGCTCACTAACACGCGCGCGCCCTTGGATGGATGGATGGATGGATGGATGAGACAGACGGCGGCCCCAACCGCCGTACTTAAAGCGCGTGGCCGTCCGCCGATCATCAGCACGGCGGCGTGCGCATGCATGCAATGCATGGCCGGTCGACCGGTCGACGCATGGCGTACGTCCGAGTCGGTTGTTGGGCGTGTACTCGGCCCGTGACGCAGACACGTCTACATACACGAAACAAGCACCTGGTTCGGTTGGTTGGTCTCTTCGACACGACGATCGATCGACCAACGACAACAAGCTGCGCGCTGGGGCCGTTGCTGCATACACATAGGAGTAAGCCAGCAAGCGATGAGAGCAGTAGACTTGTGGCAGTACAGGAGTACGAATACAGGCAGTGTAATAGTAAGAGTCCGATCGTGCCCGGAAAGCAAGCGGGGGGAGGCTGGCAAGAGCAAGATCGAGCGCATCATCTCATCCATAAAACTTTAACCAGATCTCTTTCTTTTCCGTTTATAATCGAAATGAATGTTCATTCAAGGCTGTACATTGATGGAGCCAAGTCAATACCCGAACCATGCATTTCACCCCCTACCCCCTCCCCTATTTTCTGCCGCACACACGCACACACACGCAACACCACACATAGGAGGAAAAATGGAACAATGGTGGCGGTGCTGCGGCGGCCCGAGGAGGAAGAAAGGGACAAGCAGCAATGGTTCGTTCTTGACTCTCTCGCTGTCAAAGGCGCCTATCATATCTCTCTTTCTGATTGCTGATCTCTCTGACTCTGACTGACTCACTGACTGACTGGTTGACTGACCTGACTGACGCATATGCATGCATGAACTAGTTTAAGGTGGGAAAAATCCTGTAAAATTACGCTAATGGAAATCCAAAACGAAGACTGACGAACGAACGAAGCCTAGACATGCAATGGGATGGTGTGACGGTGGATGCATGGACGGATGGATGGGTGGACGGAAGGAGAAAGAGAGAGAGAGCTGCATCGGCTTGAGATGCCGCAGCAACAGCAGGTGGAGCGCATGAATGCGAGCATTCAACGCACCAACCAACTGTTCTCTCTCTCTCTCTCCCTCGTCAGAAGCACTACACAAACACTCTAGCTTAGCTCGGATGGATGGTGGACGGACGCCCATGGCGGCTAGGCGCAGTTGAGGGCGGTCTTGATGTTCTGGACGGTGGTGCTGACGAGGTTGTTGACGGTGGCGATGGACTCGGCGTTGAGCTTGGACGACGGCAGGCTGCTGATGAGGATCTGGAAGGCGACGCTGACGATGCACCCCGCCGCCATCGGGGTGGCGGCGCTGGTGGACGCGCCGCCGCCCACGCCCGCGGGCCAGATGGCGAACCCCGAGGGCAGCAGCGGGATGCCCGACGGGTCGGCGCCGCTCATCATCATGTTGGCCGCCGGGATGTCGATGGGCGAGTGCACCACCATGGAGCACCCCGACGTGTCCGTGCAGCTCTCCTGCAGCACCAGGATGGTGGCCTGGCCACCTTGGGGGCTCTGGCTCGGGCCCAGGGCCTGCGATTCAAAAGTTACCAGGATCAGACGCCATTAACGCAAATACTATCCACAGTGTTAATGCAGCAATTCAATGGAGACGGAGCATTATCGCCTCGTCAAGTCATTAGTCATTACCCGCAGCAGCGTGATGCAGTTCCCGGGATTGGGGCCGTTGGGGATGCGCGACACCGGCTGCACCGAATTCTCCTTGCACAGGACGTCCCACTGCATGCAGCAACAACGGCGAGATACATGGCGTCAATGGCGTGTGTCACCCGGTACGGTACTAGGTACGTGACGACAACCGTAACAGTGTACTGCGGTGCGTGAACGTAAGGAGTTAAACGGAACCTGGGTGCGCGTGTTCTCGTCCCGGAGGAAGCCGAAGACGTGGTCGGCGGGGACGGGGAGCCAGACGGAGGTGGCGGCGCCGAGCACCACGCCGTTGGGCTGCCCCGGCTGGGAGCCCTGGTTCATGGACACGCGCACGCACACCTCGCTGCCGCCGGCGCCGGGCATGGTCGTCCACTGGTGCTGCGGCGACGCCGTCATGCCCCCACAGAAGCTGCTCACCATGCGCTGCGACAGCGCCATCATGCTGCGTCTCCCTTCAGCCGTCACTGTCAACAACATCCATCATCATGGTTAGAACAAAACAAAACAAAACAAAACAAAACAAAACAAAACAGAAAAAACGATCTTGCTTGGGGTTTAAGGGCCCATCAGGGTACCTCCGGTGGTCTCGCCGTGCATCACGCCGGGCACCTCGACTGAAGAAGCGTAGCGCTCGCAGGCGCGGTGCAGCGCGGCGACCCAGCGGTGCGCCCCGAAGGCGGCGCCGCTCTGCACGATGTCGCGGTACAGGGGGCCGATCGGGCTCTTGTCCTCGATCTCCATGTGTTCGACCCAGGTCACCTGCCATGCCAACAAAACGTGTCAGAAGAACTCCCAGAGCCACAGCAGCATACCACAAGGGCGAGAGGCCGATGGACCGATGTGTCGTTGGTTCGTTGCTCACTGACCCTGGAGTAGCCATTGGTCATTTCGGAGATGAGGCAGCCGGACGGGAGGCGGCGGGAGCGCGACGGCGGGCCGCCGTAGTGGACCTCGCGCTGCATGTCCGCGGAGACGTCGGCGATGGCCCACATGCCCTGGTCGATCTGCCGGCAGTAGCGGAGGAAGCTGAACTCGCGGGTCGGGACGGCCGGCGTCGTGAAGTGCAGCTGCTCGTACATCTGCACACCCAACGCCGTTATATCAGATCGCGACTGATTAATAAGATTCTAAGAGCAGAAAGGAACGGGTTCGACGGCATTACCATGACGAGTGACTCGCTCCTCCCGTTCAGGCCATTGACGAGGGGGTCAGTGATCCGCGCGTGGGACACGATGCTTGGGAAGAACTCCATGAACTTGCTCTGCAGCAGCCAGCAACAAACAGTCAGTTCAGAACTAGTCGATCAAGAATTGAAGGGCAATCGGTCGAACGGTTGGAGGGGATGGATGGAGACTCACCGGGTCCATGAACACTTCGACGAGGCAGACGGGGTTCATGCACACGATTGCCGAGTCGCGGGAGCCCTCGACGCGGATGTCTCCGGCGCGGAGGTTGCTGCTGCCGGGCTTGGAGTAGATGGAGTCGTACGCCTGGACGTCGATGATCTCCCGGCCGTCGCCGCCCGGGATCTTGACCCACACGTTTTCGCCCTGCTGGGTGAGCCGGATCAACTCGTCCATGGCCCGCGTGGCCATCTTGGCCAACAAGGGGCGCTCCTTTTCAGTCACGGGCGCCGGCAGATGCATGGTCGGCATGTCCGACAACGGCATGCCCAGGCCAGCCCCGCTGAGGTCGAGGTCCAGCGAGAGGCCGCCGCCGCAGAACGGCTGGTGGTGCCCGCCGCCCATCGGCACGCCGCCGATTGGCACCCCGCCCATGGAGAGGTCGAGCGAGGAGACGTTCATCTGGGGCGTGCCCTGCGGCAGCTGCGTGAAGGGGCGGCCGAGGTACTTGGCGGTGAGGCCGGCGACCTGGTCGAGCTCCTGCTTCAGGCGAGCGTTCTCCATGCGGAGCTTCTGCTCGTCGAAGTAATCTTCGGCGATGGGCGGGCCGCCGCAGGTGGGGCAGATAACATTCTTCAGCGCCTCGCGCATGGCTATGTTTTCGCAGCGGATCTTGTCGTTCTCCTGGCGCAGGAAGCAATTGTCCTGGCGTTCGTGCTGTGCCTGCCATCCACAACAAACAGATTCCGCCCCGTTCAGGAAACAATTCAAGACCAGATCATGGAGAAGAAGAAAAAAAACAGAAACCTCGAGCAATCAAAGATTCGAGTCCATGGATGGCACCACTTACCTTCATCTGCGTGCGCCGGTTCTGGAACCAGAACTTAATCTGGCGGGCCTCGAGGCCGAGCTCGCGGCTGAGATTGGCGCGCTGCGCCTCGTCGGGGTGGGGGCACTCCTTGAACATCCTGCCAACACACGGACGACAGACGCCATTACTCCTCTCTACCGATCAACGGCGGCAAGAATTAAGATCACAAACAAGGCGAGAATTAAGGCAGGAAGGAATGGAGTGGGGTGCATGATTAAGAGGATTACGTACGCCTCGAGCGTCTGAATCTGGCGCGGCGTGTGGCGGTGGTAGCGCTTGCGGCGCTGGTTCTGGTTCTGCTGCTGCTGCTGGTGGTGGTTGCTCTCGGATCCCCCCTCCTGGTCATCCCCGAAGTCCATGGTTCTCGCTCGCTCGCTGGCTAGGAGGAAAGGACCGGAGGATGAGCAGGAGGAGGAAGGAGGAGGAGAGAGACCTTGGCACTCAGGGCTGCGTGGCCTCTCCGGGCTCGCTCCCCGCGCCTATTTATACGCGCCGGAGTGGTAACGCCAGCCGCGCCCGGCCTCGAGGATGAGCACGCGCGCGAGAGGGCGAGCCGCGAGCGATATCCGCTGGCGTTGCTTCGCCACCCGGATGCCACCCCCGCGATCTTTGTTCCCGTATGCCGATTTTTGCACTCAGTTGAAACGGCCGATTTGACCAGCTAGCTCCTCCGCCGCTGCTGGCTGGCTGGACCTCTCTCTCCCCCGCCCGCTCCCGGCTATCTATCTCTCTTCCCTGCCTTCGTCCCTATCCTTCTCGCGCTCTCTCCGCTCCACGGCGCCAGCAGCGGGCGGGGTGGTGGTACTAGTAGTAACCGATGCGGGCGGAATTAAGGGCCGGCGATTTTAAACACGGCGCTCGATCGTCGGGGCCATGACCACTCCCCCCTCCTCGCTTTCTCTCTCCGCACTCTAGATAGACTGGCGCTCTGTTGGGCTCCGATGGGCACAGCTGGAGCCATTTAAGGCCAAGCGGGTCGGGTCCCCGAACACTACACCCTTTGCTGTCAGCCCTCCCCCCGTAGCGCAAACCACTCAGAAGCCTGGATGATACATGACACTTGTGGCATTTGGACCTGATGATCGTTTATCTTTATGGTATAATGTAAATTGGGAAACAATCATGCATGATAATGCTCATAGCCTGGTAGTGTATAATACATGTTGATCCAATGACCGTGCTTCTTGGTATGGCTGGTATTAACTTTGGACACTTGGCCACAATTGGCAAAATATTGCGCGGGTTAATACTTGCTATAAACGATGTTTCCTGCTACGTATTATTGTTGGAACCATGTTTCGGAAGTTACAATCCTTTTAAATTGGTTTACAGAAGATTATTAAAAGATTATGCTGGTCTTTTAAGAAATGGACTATGTTGGTATCTTTTTTTTTCCTTTGCCTACCTATGAACTCTCATGCCTCAGCCGCGACACATTCATGACACGCTATGGTTAGAAGCTTGACACATATCGGTTTACACTCATCGCCGCTCATCGCTAGCTAGAGCAAATAAATTTTCATTATGCCGTAACTTATGTTTTGTGTAGCCAAATTGGCATGATTGATTCCCTACGTGTTCATAGACCCATGCTAAAATGTTATAGCGCCTAAATATTTGCATGGGTCGTTAAGACTTTTAAGCTTTCTTTGTGTCGCCGTACGTACTTTCTTTCATGTAGGATGGTCGTTTCTTATAATGTAATGCAATGTTTACGTTTGTGTGCGTACTTCCTTTCACTCAGGATGACCGTTGCTTATAACGTAATGCAAGGTTTTACGTCTTTTGTGCGTACTTCCTTTCACTCAGGATGACCGTTGCTTATAACGTAATGCAAGGTTTTACGTCTTTGTACGTACTTCCTTTCATGCAGGATGACCATTTCTTGTGATTTAATGGAGGGCTTTACGTATTTTTGTATGGACTTCCTTTCATGCAGGTTTTACGTCTCTCTACGTACTTTGTGTCATGCGGGGTGGTCGTTTCTTTCTTGTAACGTAATGCAAGGTTTTACGTCTCTCTACATACTTTTTGTCATGCATGCAGGACAGTCGTTTCTTTCTTGTAACGTAATGCAAGGTTGTACGTCCCTCTACGTACGTTCTTTCATGTAGGATGATCCTTTCGTGTAACATAATGCAATGTTTTACATATCATGCTTAGTTTATATTAATAACTTATATATGAGAATAAATTTTTGTGCCTTCCATTATTGCGGTGACAGGAATAGTTATTTGGTTTATTCTATGTGAACAATAATTTTTCACAAGCTATGTATCATGTCAATTTGTTATTCAAGCAAGTAAATTTAGAATTAAAACTTTGCACAAATTGTTGTTAGATAGTGGTAGTTGTGGATTACTAATTATGGAAAGCATATATGCATTTTGTCAATAAGATAATCCTGGCATTGCAATAGATCTTTCATGTCTGTTCTATAATATTAAACATTGAATCTACACTGACAATAATATATCGATTACATCACTTATAATTCAAGTTGGCATTGCTACCAACCATGAACGTATAAGTTGCTTCCACATTACATCCAAGCAATATAACATAGATCTCACATGTACATTGTCGTATGAGGCATCATGACAAAAAAAATCAAATTTCCCATGTATGCTTACTAGTAAGTATTGCATCCATAACTTGATTTTTTTTTCTACATCTCCATAACTTATTTTTTACATATCCATAACTTGTTTTTGTGTTACGCCATTGTTACAATAAGAGTTTATTCAGAAGCATTATATTACCTCATGTGTTTGAAGTTTCCAAGAAGCTTATTAGTTTTCATTCAAATTTAAATTATATAATATATAATGTTATTTACCAGAATATATGAAGCACTTCATATCAACTATGTTCGAGTTTATTGATATGTTTTTCTATCTACCCTATTGGGTTTGGATGCAAACAAATGAAGGCACTTAGAGTTAGACTCAAACGTCGTGACCTGTCTTGAAATATATTTTTCTACCCGTCCATAAATGACTCTAGAGGTATTTTTAAGAATGTTCACTCTAATAAGGGAGATAATCCTAAAGTTGTTTTTGAAGCTAGATAATCCTAAAGATATGTCCATGTATGGCTTGTTACCCATTCCATTCAATTATGCAATACTTCAAAATGCAATTAACATGCAATAATTTTCTACGTCCTACATATGTATTTGAAATCAAATCATTGTACCAGTGGATTGTTATCCAGTAAATCATAATATTCATGTCCTAAAGTAAGATAGTAGAACAATGACCACCCTATTATTGCGGGCACTGCCATGATGAGGCTAGATATGGTAATCTTTTTTTGAGTTCATCATTTATTCCTTTTACAATGGTTGTTTGGTTATAAAATGTGTTCATCCACATGGGAGATTTGATTTAGTCGTCAATTTTATTTAGCTTGCCACTTACATGAAGAAACACGGAATCAAGTCCTTGATCCTTCATTTATGTTGCATATACTTTAATTCAAGTGGAAATCCTTAAGTAACATGTGTTGTTTCATTAGATTCATGGCCAATCACATGTTAGGCCGAGAATAAACTTTTTCTGCTTAAACAATATGATACGTCCTTTTCTCATGAAACTAAAACAACCATCAAAACTACAATCATCTTCTTATTGTAAAACCTTTTTCTGACATTGTCCTTCACAACCATTATACCTACTGTATGCATGTAAAGTTTGATCTAGATGCTTGTACTAAATAGGGAGCTGTGATTGGAAAAGATATATTGCAAGATATTTATGTATATTACTTGTATGTTTTTTATTACCCTAGTACATTATCATACTTCAGTTCACTTGATGGTATAATTTTTCATGTACCCGTAGTGTGGTCATGATTAATAAATACAATGGCATAATAATCTAATCCCTTATAATTGTAGGTTTATGAAATTAAAATATGACTGAATACTAAACTTATATTTAATATCCATGTTTAAGTGGGGATATTGACACACAGAAACAAATTACTTCCAACTATGTTTCCCATGTGAAGTGTGTTCAAATCAATACATATTACACAAATATATCTAGTTTATCAATTGTGTAAGCAATATAACTTAATGAGATGCGCCTTTTACTAAGGAAAATATGGGTTCCCAATATAGCTTCAAAACATAACTTTGTATGGCATGAATTGTACAATAATATGAATGCTATATAAAACAATACTCGTATACATATTACTTTAAATGAACACAAATGTGGTATTGGCTATAAGTATATGCTAAAACAATGCACAATGAGACTACGTATCATGGGTTTCTTTTGTAAGAGCAAACATGATTTGCAATGATCATATTAACTCATCGATCACAAATATTTGTTGTGATCAAGTAGAGTGACACTACTCGTTGTGAAAAATGAAGTAGACCATTTGTTGGCAATGTTGCGCAAGTTTATTATAGATACATTTTTGTATCTTTTAATGGAACCATGTTTGAGTAATAACAATATATGAATTGTAATTTGCTACATTATTATCTTGATACCTTGAGACTCTATAGGATTTGATGCATCCAGTGTAGTTGATTCGTCACACTTAAACATATAGTTTTATAACTACCATATTCATACTCTATATTGATCTATAATTATTCGTTGCTAGAACAAATGAGTTTGAATTGTGCCATGTTTGGAAAATTTATGTAGATTAGTTGACGTGTTGATTATGACAACCTTGATGAGATTATAGTGTGTAAACAGTTGTATGGACAACTAATTGTTGTGTTCGTTTTGCATCTCTGTATATGTTCGTTTGCCAAAGAATGCTTGTTTTTATATCATAAGTGTTAACTTGATGGTAGCATGAAGATGTAATTAGTTGGTAGCATGACTAAAATATGTTCTGTTGTAGCACCAAATAATTATTTATTTTTCCACAAAGTAATTGTAGTTGCAATATGTAAACATACAGAACAAATAGGAGTTATATTGATGTGATACTAATGATTTATGGTAGAATTGAATAAGAAATTCACATGTATACCATACCATCAAACTTTTAAACTATACTAACTACAATATATGAGTACATTACTTATAAGAACGACGACATTGTTGCCAGTGCATCAAATTTATTTCGTGTTAGTAATATAATGCATTGTATCTAAATGTTGTTATTGGAGACATGTGTTTGAAATAGAGATCATACTTGTACACCACATTATAAGGCATTGCTTCAAGAAGTTAAAATTGTGTGCATTTCGCATGTATTCTTAATGCAGGGCATTGTATCCATAAAATATTTATGTATTATGAAAATTTACAATAAAATCGAATCCATCTATATATCTTGTAATAGTAGGCCATGATATATGTACAAAATACAATGTAATGAG